TTGCTGAAGATCCCTAGCCTAGTACTAGCATGCTGTTCTAACATATCACAAAATCAAAAAACCTGTAAGGTATTCTAGGGTCTATTCGCGAGCTCTGTCTGATCGTACACTTGCATCTTCCTTTATATTTTTGAAAACCATTTGAAAAAATCATTTTAAAATCTGGTCCTTAGTTTGAGACTGGAGACACACGAGTGTTTCCTCCAATTCACTCAAACCAAGGCTCTGATACCAACTTGTAACACCCATAAAAATCAAGCCAAATTTGAACATTTTAAAACATTTCAAAACCAATGATTATTACAAAACTTGTTTTCAAAATAGTATAGTGTCAGAGTATCCCAAAATCAAATCATGAAAACATAAGGAGGTGTACGATCACGCCTTCGCCTTCCCGCGATCATCAGAAGTACCTGAAACAAAATCAACAACTGTAAGCCCAAAGCTTAGTGAGTTCCCCTAAAATGCCAACGCCATACAGTCATAATCATATCATATAAACAACGAGAATGCATAATGAGCCATCAGCCTGACTGGACCGCCTTGCAGGCCTTTAGTCTATCTGGACCGCTCTCCGAGCCTTCGACACGTCTGGACCGCCTCTCAGGGCCTTCAGCCTATCCAGACCGCTCGCCGGGCCTTCGGCCTGACTAATATGCCCTCCCGGGTCTGCAGTCTATACGGTCCGCCCAGGTTATGTTGGCCTTTAGCACAAAGCAGGTCCGCCTCAACCCAACCCCAATCAAACAATCATGTGCACATAAATATCATACGCTAGCATGTATATAACAGTCAAACCGATCTAACAGATCACTAATCATAGCAACATCCTATAACCAGGATACCGACCTAACCGGTCACTAACATAACATTATCCTATATACCAGGATACCGACCTAACCGGTCACTAACATAACATTATCCTATATACTAGGATACCGACCTAACCGGTCACTAACATAACATTATCTTATATACCAGGATACCGACCTAACCAGGTCACTAAGCATATCACCATCCTAACTACCAGGATGTAAATTAATAAGCATATCATGCAATAAACCCGGATACAAATCCGAAAAGGGCCGGCATTGGTGCCTTCGACCCTGTTAGTATAGTGAGGACAACTCACCTTACAAGTAGCTCGGAATGATAATGTCAAACTTCTCCAAATACAACTCCAACTCCAACACCTACATCCACCAATGATCCACTTCCATAAATTCCCAAATTACTAAAATACCCCCAGAAGTCAAACTGGTCAACCCTTGGTCAAGTTCAAAGTCAATGGTCAAGGTCAACAGACCATGTTGACCCCACTCGTCGAGTGCAGTTCACTGACTCGTTGAGTCGTTGAGTCCTTCCAGAACTTGAGAAATCGTGAAAACCCTAGTTGACCCGCCGAGTTTCCAGACAACTCGTCTAGTCCATGCGTGTCCAAATGTCGGGAAAACCCTAACTGACTCGTCGATTCGTCTTACTGACTCGTCGAGTCCATGCAGAAACCAACAACGACCAATCTTCATCGGACTCGTCGAGTTGACCATGCAACTCGTTGAGTCCCTTCAGTCCATTTCTCATTCAGATGTTTTTAGGCTACCCCAAAGCTCCATCTTGCAGATCTAACCTCCTAGGGCATGGTTTCCACGTAAAGTTGCAAACTTTACGTACATGCATGTCCTAAATGCCAAAACCAAGCTAAGGGAAAGGTTTAAACCAAGAAGAACAGCCAAAGCTTGATAAATCTGATAACTTTATGACTATAGGGACTTAGAGGAGTCCATATCTGAAGTTACAACTTCAGATCATGCCCAATACCCGAAATAACCCACAACCAAGTAGAAATTGGCCCTAAACCTTTACATGAGGAAATCTAGTTAAAGATAAGTCAAGGTAACAACTTGTTACCTTTGAAATGATGCCAAGATGAGGTAGAGTCAGATCTACAAGCTTCTCTTTGCTCCAAGCTCCTTAGACTTCAAGCCTTTTCCACAAAAACCACCTTCCAAGCTTCTTTACACACAAAAACGGAGAGTATTCGAGATTAGGGTTTTATGAGCTCAAGAGGGACGGGCGGTAAGGGAGGCTGAGGGAGGCTAATGACCCTTTAAATAGGGTGCAAAACCTTGTAAATTAGGGTTTCATTGTCCAGCTCATACTCGTCGAGTTGGGGTCCTCCAACTCGTCGAGTAGACCCTTTAAATGCACGTGGTCCGAATTGTTTATACATGACGAGTTAGGGCATCCAACCCCAATCAAACACATCACTAGTTAGGTTTTCAAACCTTAACTCTTTTTGGATTGATTCCACCATGGGAGTCACTTTCTAAGTTTGATTAAAGCATCTAAACACTCTCATCTACATCGCAGTCAAGCTATAGGTTGATCAATTCAACCAACCTACACAAAATAACAATTTCACCGAAAGTAGGGAAATCAAACCTTAATGGAGAGAGAGGATGAAAATCCTTATCAAACTCCATCTCTAGCTTTTCTTGCCTTCATTTCAACACTAAAATTGCCAACATTTAGCTCTCAATAGATTTGGGGTGTTTAGATTCGGAAATGAGGCTCTAATAGGTTAAAACCTGTATTTAATCTTTGATGCTGCACCGCGGTGTGAGCTCTTTATCTGTGGTCAGCCTCTTGCTGAGTCGCGATGCCTTTGTCCCTTAGCATCCTAGTTTGGCCACCGCGCTGCGGCACCCATATACCACGCCACATGGAAAAGTACATTGCCTTTCTCTTAAGACGAGAAGAACTTCGTTTAAATCCTTATCATCACTCACCGCTCCGTGGTGAGATAGCAAAGTGCATTGTTGATTCCATTCCAGCTTTAGGGACAACTTTTCCCCCAATTTCTAACACACATATCTTCTTCTTTCTAACTCGTTTTCAATGAATTTTATATCCGTACGAAGGTGGAATATACTTTACAAATTTGTTAAGTCATTTATCACTGGTTTAATATGGTTCTTAATCTATTAAGTCACAAAGTAGGCCCAAAAAGCATAAAAATACACATTTTACCCTTTCAGCCAAAATAATATTCTCATGCATTCTTTCTCTTGAACTTACTTATCTAAACTCGTCTTAGTGACTTAAACTTATCTTGACCATTTTCATGAAGTCACAATTTCATAATCTCATCTTTTTATCTTTACTGACCAAACTGTCCTTTTGGTCAATATAGTCAAAAGTCAACTTTCTCTAAATTTTAGGTTTTTGTAACAACTACTCCCATTCTACCACTATAAATTTATAAAACTGGGGTGTTAAATGATAACATAACTTACTCTACATGGCCGAGAAGCAGATCAACAAAGTCGTTATGTTTTGGCACATTTGGTCGAGTAACACAAAAAGGGTGTCATACTAGCTAAGGCAAGCTCAATAACACAAGGGAGGTATGCTGCAAAGGATACGTCATAAATCTCATTCTTTTGTTTCATTAATAAAACTAGATTGTATTTCGTACACTTCATTTAAGTTGCGAAAGGAGGCAACATTCTACACTTAGGTGCTGTTTGTTTTTTGTAAAAAACCTCTTCAGACCTCTTATTGATGCGTGGTGCAGCACACGCGCAACACTTTAAATCTCGAAGCTGTTTCTTTTTTAGAAGTTTTCTGAGTAAAAAAACTCTGCGCGTGTTCTGTTTGGCGCATCACTTGTATTGCCTCTTCCAGTCTCTTTCAACCTCTTGTTATTCTTTTTTCTTGCTAAAATTTTGATTATATGTTGCTGAAATATTTTTTACCTTTTTTCGTTTTTTTTGTTTATTCTTGTTGAATTTTTTTTTTCCATTTTTTTATATTAAATAATGATAATTTCTTGATGAAATATCATTATTTTTTGCTAAAATATCTTTATTTTTTTTTGTTAAAATATCATTATTTTTTTGCTGAAATATTATAAATTCTTGCTGAAATGTCATACATTATTAATTTTTCGGTATTAAAAAACTATTTCGGTTTATAAAATCAGTGTATTTTATTTTTTTAATATCTGCAGCAGCATGCAGATGTTAAAAAAACAAACACGTTTCTTATTACAGTTGGCAGCCGTTTGGTCCACCTCTTCTACTGCAGAGGGTTGCAGAGGTGGTCCGCAGACTTCATGAATTCTTGCTTCAAAAAAACAAACAACACCTTAGATTGCTTCCAACACTAGACCAGTTTTCTACGCAAACAATTCCCACCCTACCGCTTACCATTTCGAAAAATTCTTACATGACCGATTTACACTCGAACAATTTCTACTACCTGGCCGGCCAATTTCCACTTGGAGATATATTTATTGGAAAATTATTTCTAGTCTTGACATATATACGGTGGTGCCATATTCTAAAAGAAAGAACGGATAATATCCTCAAAATGTCTCACATTATAATTACTATCGTCAAATTCATCTTTTAGTCGCCATAAATATCAAACCAAAATAGTCTTACTTAAATGCAAAATCCATGTCATAATCACACCGAATTTGATGTTATATACCGACATAAGTGACCTTGTTTAAATGATTTTATTGAGAAAAGAGAAGTGACTTTCTCTAAGAAACGACCAATGCCCTTGTGTTTATTTAATTATTAGTCAATTATCCTCTTTAAGAAAAGAGAAAGAAAGTATTAGTAATTGGTTCTTGCTGTTAGAAACATGAAACATAAAAAGAAAATAAGGATAAAAAGAGAGGTGGTCGGCAGATCGCGGAGGAGTGTAAGGAGAAAGAAGAAAGGAAAACAGGTGCCCACCACCGGTGCACCGACCTTGAGCCCACTTGAAAATTTCCTTAGATACGCCATTGATAATATTGCATAATTATCGATTATAATTAACACTAAAGATTACAACTTTTTGTAACGACCATTTGTGACACGAACATATATAAACCAACTCCTTTTTTTCGACCACTACAATAACATATTTAACTTCCATATCCAAAAAAAAAAGAAAAAAGAAAAAAGAAGAAAAAAACTATTTTCCAGTGCCACGTGTGAAAATCATCCGAGCTTTTTCAAAGCCAACTGGAAATCCACCTTGTGATTTCGCCTAGCATTTCTCTTACTTTTACGCCGGTCACTAAACGACGCCGTGCTCTCCTTCTCCTTCTTTTCCGCTGACCTTTTAAGCGCCTTGCTGGCTTGAATAGCGAGCAAACAGAGTTCATGTAAAGAAAGTAGTCCCGTTGAGATTGAGATCGGAAGAATGAAGTAGAGTTGACCCGGCTGGAGTTCTTCAGTTCCGGGGACCCGAGGCACGTGACAGTCGACGTTCATCTCCTCGGAGTTGCAGAGGAACAAGGTGTCTGGGTGGCCGGAGAGAACTTCACTAGCCTTGATCGGTTCTTCGAATTCTTTCAGGCTCCCATCGACTGAGTTGATCACCTTTATTGTTGGTGTTAACTCATAGGTGATCAACAATTGACCTTGAGTTTTTGTAGACTGAGTCGATGCACAGATACCCATGTCGATCGATGATTATGTTTTTCTGTATTGTTTTGGTTCAGTATTTCTCTTTCCCGGCCGATCGATTAAATCAGCATCGGCAGTGGAATTAAGATCAGGATCACGTGAGTGAAACTGGTTGTGACTTGTGAGTTCTACAGGGAAAGTGTAGGGGGTATATATACAAGGGGATAGAGCGTGTGTCTGTGTGTTGGAGACTTGGAATAGCAAGTGATTTCTATTTTGGATTGGTAATTTGTTATTGGACGTAATAAATATTATAATATTGGAAATAAAAGTATTCTTTGATTTATAAGACTGAAAAAATGAAGTCTGAGTCAACAAAATGACCGAAAACAGATAGAAAATTAATTATGTTTGGGAGTACGGTTATGTAGATTCGGGTTTTAAGTATGACCAGTAAATATAGTGTTTAATTATGTTTCGGAGTACGCCTATGTAGATTCGGGTTTTAAGTAGGACTAGTAAATATAGTGTTCTCTTGGGTTCATATGGGGTTAACTATTAAAATGTTTATCTGTTTAATTTTTGTAGTATGCCGTGTCAATATGTTATTTAATTGAGTTAAAATATCTTATCCAAGCCCATTTATTTCATATTGGGTTAAAGAGTTTAGGGTTTATACCCTGTGAATGTGTCGTGTATGGAGTTGAAACACTAAATGAGTTAAAAAGAGTTTGACTCTAATCTTACCTATTTAACTTTTGTGTCGTATCGTGTCACACGTTACTTAGGTGCTCATAGTGGTGGTACTTTGGGGTGACTGGGCGGTGGTAACGCCGGTGAGACCATTTGTAACGCCCAAGTTTTTAATACAAATTACACCTAAATTTTTTATTTTCAAATCATAATTCATTACAAATCCGATGTACAATCGTATCACAAATCAGTGCAACTAGTTATCAAGAGGATCTTATAAGAATCTAGTATAAGATTCCAAGTAGGGGGCAACCAACTCCTATAAATTAGTTATAAAACTAAATATATCATCTTTTTTTTTCTCAATCATACATTCATAATGTGTCTTTCAAACATTCAACATACTCATAAGACATTACTGACACTAAGTCTGCCATTTATTATCCATACTTGACTTACAGTCGCTTTAGCTACTATTAATTCCAATAACCTATCTTGGTAGTAATTAATACTACATAAACTATTAATTCATCCAATAATGGTATTACAGTCACTAAGACTACCATCACTCTTCCGCAACAAATCCTTCAAATAAAGCGTTACAGCCACCTAGTCCGCCATTGACTAGTATTTCTCCACTGATGATATGACAACCACTAATGCTACCATCATAAACTAATAATTCTAATCATTACCACGGTTATGCTACTTTAGAACTTCTAACTACCCATTACCAATTTCTATTTCTTAAAAATATACAAGAATAACGTTCAGACATTAAGTCTGCCATTACCTTGTATTATCCAATATCAATCTACAATTATAGCGTTCCAAACACTAAGTCCGCTATTGACCTGTAATTCTCCGATACTAACTACGATTCTGACCTCAAGCTCTTTACCACTTCCCAATCCATCACTTGTTCAAGCCTAATTGGATAATATATCAAGTACATTAGAACTTGTCTAAATTCACCATTATATCAACCACAACGATCAATTACCTGATCAATAACTAAATCCGGTAACCATTTGTTACCAAACTAATCAAGTTTCCAAATACAATCACCTAAAAGACTTAACCACGTAAACCATTAGCACAATCGACAATCTCAGTAAACTAAGGTATATAACTCTAACCGATCAAATTAAACATTTAACTAATCACCAGGTTTGTAATAGCACCATATCACGAATTCTCGTAATACATACTCGGGTCTAACACCCCTCTACAAAATCTTACATGAAAAGTATTTATGTAATGACAAGATAAAAGATACCTCTACAATCTCATAACTCAACCCTCGTATCCATGTATGCTAGTATGACTCTACGGTAACAATTCTCCGGAAACACCTCCTGAGGCTCTCCCCCGATCGTGTGTGCCAAAACTCCACAAACGACACAAAACACATATATTTATACTAGGGCTAAACTGCGTCGCGATAGTCAAGTGGTCGCGTCGCGACCACGTTCTTTTATGAAAGAAAGTCGCTTGTCGTACTCTTTCGCCACGTGTCTCGCACAATCACCATGTGTCTCACTGACTTACTTCACTCTACGTCATGATGAGAACTATTTCGCGCCACGGTGAACCACAACTGACAATTTGACTTTACTTTCATTGACTTTCTCAAAATAGCAACGTACTTTTATCCCAACTTCAAACGGTAATGACTTCATACAAACTCTGTTTTTGACGATCTTTATATCCACAAAATCGTCTCAGAGTAAACTATCACTTTCTTTCACTAATTTTTCTTACTATTCTTACACAATAATACATATTATGAAAAACATGTGTTACAATCTCTCCCCTCCTTAAGAAGATTCCATCCTCGGAATCTCGTCAACATGCTATGACTAGGTTGTAACAACATAATCTATTACCCCCTTACATTCAAATGTAAGTATAATCACTTCTATACCGATAATTACTATAATCTCTAACATGCTTACAACATCCGACGTACCTTTCTTTATTCTTACTCTACTATCATACATGTTAACCAATGGTATTGCAGTCACTAAGACTACCATGATCAACAATTTTCAACGTAGTGGTATTTCAGTTACTAAGACTACCACTCAATCCAAAAATTCGTATCCGGGATATTATGGTCACTAAGGCTACCCCAAAGTACGAAACCATCATAAACCTTAACATTACAGTCACAAAGACTGCTAGGTTCTATCCTCCATCTCAGTTCATCATACGTATCTTATCGACCAAATTCATATCCAAGTAATAATACTTGGGTAGTATTATGATTTAGGACCAATCTCATTCATATAACCAATCATTCCCAGCTAACATCTAGTATTTGACTTACAACTTACACTAAGTCATGAATAAATAACATATGCAGCTTACAATATATGTTATACCTACAATTTCTTTCCTCAAGATATCATCTTGATATTCCATACTCTCGATTTACAACGAGATTTTTATGAATACTAACCTGAAAGATTGGTAACCTTTCCTTCCTCGCTTATTCAGGTAACTCTACCCGTTCTCATACCCTTATAGAGTTCATTTCTCCTTCCATATCATCTTTTAAACAATCAATTCCTTTTCCTCAAGTATAACTTTTATCAATAATCACCTCATATTTGTTCTCAATCACACTCATCCATTCCATACTAACAAGGTGATTAATTTCTACACATATTCAAAGGTACCTATCAAGTAATCAATAACATTCTATCGTGGACTCAATCACTACGTAGTACATATTGACACTTAATTCAACAATCAAAACATGAATCAATTTATATTGATCCTATAATCAACACTTACTTATTACTGGGAACCTCGCCTCAGTATAATTTTTCTCATCCCAATACACGATTATATACTACTATCTACTAATGAATTACAAAACCAACACTTGTACAATGCTACTCTAATCCTTCAGGTAGCCTTATCACTAAGGATACCGCCTCATAAAACTTTTCTATCTCATAACATAAACATTCATCTATGTCACACCCCGAGACCAGATGGCGGAAACGTCCGGAGGCGGGTGACTTCATTGTGCAATATCATAACGATTGAGTATAACTGAAACATAGCAAATCCAAACATCATACATTGAGAATACAAGCTAACACTGTTTTACATCTTGTTCATGTTCTTGAATTACATAAAAGAGACAACATCGAGTACATATCAAACTACTTCAAAATAAACTTGGTTCCACGTTCCATTAACCTGCTTGTTGATTTCCTGAGAATACAAGTCGTTTGAAAAGCGTCAACATAAAATATGTTGGTGAGTTCATAAGCATTTTCGTATAAAATTTGATGATAGTTTAGAAATCCAGAAAAATCCAATATTTTCTTATCAATGGTTGTAAGTCTTGTTTCAAATCGAGTATAGTTGCATGTGTGTCTTAGTTTATCGTTTTCGAAATCGTAATAAATCGTTTTCTCCAGAAAATCCTATATTTTCTGATATATAAAATGGCGGTCTCAGACCCTAAGACTGGTGTGGTAAAAGCTTCGTTTGTAGTATCCAAATCAATAGTCGTTTATAATCGAGAGGTGCAGCTTGAGTACATTTCTAAAATCGTACTGTTATATTCTAAGTGAGTCGTCATAACCATACTAATATGACGGAGTGCCTGTTCTGACGTTCTTCAGGCGTCGGTTTTGTTTAAGACATTTGTCACCCTAGACTGGCCGGTCTAGCTGTAGCGAACATCGAAGGTGCGGGTTGTCAACCCCGTATAGATCTCTACACAAATTCCCGCTCCCCCTCCAGAAGACTCTGGTTATAACTCTTACAGGACTTAAAGCGTACACTATTATTTATATATACATGTACTGTGAAGATTCGTCTGACTAGAATACTAACAGAGTTTTCCTTGGTGCAAATCGTTGAGATTCGTTATTTTATTAAATAGATAACAATAGTTGTACTTATTGACTATATATTTCGTTTCATTTCACTTGGTTTATCGAAAATAATCCACTTTGAGTATTTATCAAAATGACCCAATTTTGTCGGAAAGTGTCAAGTTATGACTTGTGTAAAACCATGACTTGTGTAAAGCTATGACTTGTGTGAAGCTATGACTGTAGGTTTATGACATGCGTTTTTTTAGCTTCATGACATCCAACTTATTACTTGTGTTTCTGAAAGTTTTATGACAGCAGTTTTATGACATGTAATTATTTCTGTCATAACAGCCCTATTTTGTACATTTTCTTGATAAAATTATTTATATTAAATATTTATATATAAGAAAATCACTAATAGTTTGCAAGCAGAATATTCCTTATGTTGTGACTAAAATATTGTCCTAACATCATGGGGTTTGTAAAATTTCAAGTTTATGAGAAATTATCTTGAAA